AAATTGTTAAAAACTTTGACCTGCACTTTGTCGACGCAGAATAAGGAGCAGTGTTGGATGTTTGCCGTAAGGTGTCGACACCAAAATTATGGGTCGACACCACACCCGTGTCGGGTTTCTGTCCTCTTTTGCAAATTTTTAATGGTAAAATTGCACATCTGGTCCTCCAAATTTTTTATAATGAGCATTTAGATCCCAAAAGTAAATATCCATTCATTTAGGTCCACAAGATAACACCTTCCTTCTTGCAATTTGGGCCCTCAACTTTCAAAATATGTTCATTTAAACCCAAAAACTCATATTCTTATGCATTCACGTCTTTTTCTTTTCTACCGCCCTTATCTCAAACATACCTTTGGGTCTCTCATCCAATCTGTAAGTAGAATTGCCCAACCCTTTTTTTAGCTTTTATCCATTCCCAAGATCTAATTTGGATAACTTCAAAATATGTCAAAGGCATTGTTGATGAGATTTTTGCAAGTTACATACATGAAGGGCAGGACAATGTTTGGTATCTTCGAAAATATATAGGCAATACCAGGATGGTGGCAAGGAAAAAATCGAGTGGTTTTGGCTATTATTCTTACTAATGATTATATGTCAATATGTTAAAATATGTGTTGAAATTGAATATATTTACCTTTTACTCTCTTTCTTGTGTCTTTATTGTTATTTTTTACATTTCAAACTTTGTTTCTTTAAGAAAGAACTTAAGGATTTTGATTTCAATTTAAGTTGTTACTTTTAAATTTTTTTTTCTCTTGAAATCTTTTTTCCATAATTATATATACTCACACACTTAGGCAATAAAAAGGAATATATACGTGTAGTAGCTCATAAGAAAACTTGATAAGAGCATTAAAAGTGAAAATGTACATGAATCATTTTAAAATATCAAATTTAATGTATCATATTTTAAAAATTATAAAAAGTATGTCATTGTTAAACTAATAAAATATGCTCTATAAGTTAGTTGTCTGAACTTATTTGTATTACTAATTTTAAGTATTTAAGATATACATTTATATTTTCAAATTTATTTATACCATTATATATTTATTTATTTATTTTTCATTTTTCTTCTTATTTTTCTTTATTTTAAGGTTCCCATGACTTAGTCACGGGTACTATCTAGTAAATATTTAACACGAGTTCCTACAAGAAGGACCCCTCGCCATGATCAGTAATTGATGGAGTGATACCTGATAAGAGCAGTGCTAGGGGCACTCGCCTCCTGCACTCTCCGGCAAACACTTCCACTTTCATTGGGCCACGTAAGCTTGCTCCGGAGTTTTGGAACCCGACCTCTTTAGATCTAAATAACGTGGCCCAATTAAAATGATAAGGCAAAAATCAACATTTAACCTCTCATCTTACAAATTGGTAAGTTTTAATCCCTCATCTTATAACATGATATTTTAGGCTTTTTACCTTTACAAAGTTGGTAGGTTTTAGTCCCTCACCTTACAAAGTTGGTAGGTTTTAACTCCTCACCTTACATTATGATATTTTTAATCCCTCACCTATATGAATTGAAAAAAATAATCTTCACCTAACATCAGGTTATAATATTTTGTTAGTTTTGTTAGCTAACTGTTAACATTCGTTAGCATTCCGTTATAGAAAAACATGAAATTTAAATTCAATTTTATATGTTAGTTCCATTAACGGAATACTAACGGATATTAACAGTCAGCTAACAAAACTAACAGTAAGCTAACAGAGATGACTGTCAACTAACAGAACTAATAGAATATTATAATCTAATATTAAATAAGGGTTATTTTCTTCAATTCATACAGATAATCGACTAAAAGTGTTATAGTATAAGGTGAGGGACTAAAATCTATCAATTTTATAAGGTAATGAACTAAAATCGATCAACTTTATAAGGTAAAAGGTTAAAAGTATCATATTATAAAGTTAAGAATTAAAATTTATCAATTTTATAAGATGAAGAGTTAAAAATTGATTTTAACCTAATGATCATATGTAAAAGTAGGCATTAGACGTACGTCTTTCCACCCTCAATTTTAGTTTTCAGTCCTAACTCAAAAAGGTTGCAATCAATATTTAATATTTTGAAAAATCAAACATGAGATTAAATGCTCTATTTATATTAATTTTTAAGACATCTACAAAATTTTGAAGAACAAATGGTTGGATTAAAGTTGTGAATTCTATTAATTGAAGATCAAATAGCAGAGCTAAAATAAAGAGAAAAAAAGAGCAAGTACAAAATTAGTACATAAAAAGGTGAAATTTATTTGGCATATAAGAAAATTGACTATTTTTTAGCAAGAGGTAACGGAGAAGATTTTCCATCGGAAGAAGCTTCTTTAGGCAGAAAATGAAATTTGATTTGATGACTTTCCAAAATTTCCTTCAGCTTTAAGACTATCTTAGACCTTCGCTTTCTCTTCTTCCCGTAGTTCTGGAAGTTTATGGTGTGCCTAAAATAGACACCCAGCTTTATCTTGTTCACGTCATCAAAGTCCTCAACCACTACGCTGGGATCAGAATAACAATCATCGTGGGACTGCATGTAACTGAAATTTGAAAGTGTATGTAACATCAAGACCACATGAACATAACATGAAACTTTGATCAATATAAACTGGTAAATTTTGGCGGAATTAATTTACATACCCTTTGATATCTTTTCGAAGGGATCTTATTTGGTTTGCGTTTGTGGAAGCATCAACAGTGAATTCGATAGAATCAACAATGTTCTTGTCACTCCTGTAAAAGTTGCTAATGGGTTTTGTAGCCAAAACTGAATTTGGATAGTATACTTTCTCCCTGTCATCTTTTAAAAAGATTGTTGTATTTAGATTCATCTCATCAACAAGCAACTGCAGAAAAAAGATGTAAACATCTGATTATGTGATTATAAAAAGAAGAATTAATTTAAGTTATAGGATTAGTGATTGACTTCACCTGTTCTCCATCGATGACACAATAGTCATTGACATCAAAAGGGTGCACCACAAATACAAATATGATGGCTTCAAATACGGTCTTCAAAGTGTTACCAAACATGAATGTCAGAAGCAGAAGTTGAGAAGAAGTGAAGACAAGTGCTTCTATTGTTAAAATTCTCATTTGATATAACCAGAAAACGAGGATCACAATAGCTACAATCACATTAGCAAGCCTTTCGAGCTCTTCAATTGCGGTCTTGGAATCTGTCAAGCTTCGTGCCAACGAATTACGCTGGTTGTAAACTTTTTCCTGCAAGCAAGAAAACAAGTTAAATGAAATCAAGGTATTTGTATGGTTGTCCAGTAGAAAATGGGTCAGCAACTTTCATACACTATATTAAGTTTCTCTCTAACTAACATACTGGATTTAATGAGTTTATACATATTTAAACCATTTTACTTTCGCTCTACAGTCCTTGATGTGAGACTGTCTATACACTCACATATGAACACCCAAGAACAATCAATGTAGGGAAGCATTTGAAAAACTCTCTAAAAGAATTAAGCTGGTGCATGGAAGATATATAAAGAAAAACAGAAGAACTTGCCAGCCAATCCTCGAAATCAGAGTTGGTGATCTCTTCATTCTTAAACTGTTTTCGAAGAACTTGTTCAATGTCCTTATCATTATCAAAGTAGGACAAGAGATCATCCTTTGTTATGCTTTTCCTAGTCCATTCAAACAAAGAGAAATAATAGATTAGTTGCACTTTAAACCATGAGGGAAAAATAGTCAGACAAACACCCGAAAACTTATAATAAAAAAAAACTTACTTTCTCATAAAAATCAAATAACACAAAAACAGATGAAATAAACTTACTTTCTCATAGAGCTCTTTGACTTTTGGTGAATTAAATTGTTGAAAATCTGAATAGCAGCTTTATTTGCTGTATCAGCATCTGCAACAATTAACACTGAACCATTTGCGACTTTCATAAATCCATTAATGGTCCAGGCAGAGGCTTTCTTCATCCCCCCAAACTCAGAAATCCACTTGAAAATGACTGAATTGATCTTAGTTTGAGTCAAATGTCGCCTATTGAGCACCTCAATTATATGCTGATGAAGGATTGCTGCGCGAATCCTACGAAAGAATCTTTTACCTTGAAACTTAGAAGCTAATATCTTCACAAGAATAGCTTTTCCCAGCCATATAAGTGTCCCTAGAAGAGAAGAACAAAAAACTCTCCTAATCAAATTCACAATCCTTGTGGCTTTCTCTGATCTCTTAATTTGGTAAACATCAAACAACAAAACCCAAGTTAGAAGAACCAACAACACCCACATACAAAGCCAAACACTCTTCCGCACTCCATGAACAAAATACAGAACCTTCTCGCATCTAACAAGCTGCTTGACAAAGTTACTACACATGAAGAAAACTGCAATATTGATCATCCATCGGGTGAAAAGTCCACTGCAGAAGAAAACCAGCACAAGCACAAAACATTTCCATAATTCCGAACCCCAAATCACATGGTTTTTTAAGGGGTCTATGGTTAAGCTAGCAACTGTACATCCCGTACAGCAGACCAATACAACCCACTCAAATATGACTAACCACGTCCACTTATCCCAATTTGCGCTTTCATTACCAGCTTGGGTTTTTTCATCTTCCTCCTCATCTTCGACTACAGATTTCAAAGGAGTGGCATCTTTGTCCCTTTTTTGAGACTCGTTTAGGTTTGGACTTTCAATTTTGTCGGACAAAGGAGAAGTTGGAGAGGTCGATGATACGATTCTCTGTGTGAGATTTTCTTGAGAGGATCCTTTCTGGATTCCTGTTGAAAATGTGTCAGGGTGTTCTTCTGAGTTTGACATCGTTGGGTTTACAGGCATTGCGATCACGAAATCCTTTGGGCTGCTCTTCTCTGCCATGGCTTTCCGACTAGCTGTTCTATTTGGAAAGAAACAAGTATTATATATATATATAAGTACATTATTATTACATTATATAAAGTATATTATTTTGTTAAAAAATATTAATTACCGTATAATGTAACAGTAAATAAGTAGATGCATATAGTATAATAAATAAAAACAATATAATCACAAAATGACATGTCGTCTTCTTGTACATAACATGGCATATTCTACGCCTAGCATTTTCTTATAAACAAAAAGGAAGAAATATGAATTGGAATCTTTAGATAGTGTTTATGGCTTCAAATAGATCACCCATCATTCAAATAGCCTAATACTTCCATGTGATTGATGGATTGTTGTAGGTTAATAGGAAAAACATGAGAGGCAGAAGTAGAGAGCGAGAGACCAAGAAGCAAGGAAGACGAATAGCTTGGAGTTGGGATCACTACAATCATCAAGGTAGGGGCAGGGTTTTCCAACCAAACTAGAGAATAGACAGAGCTATATACAATCAATCTGTTCCGTTCTTCTTCACCAACTTCATGGAGGATTGGAACCATGAACAAATGTGGAGAGCTTTTAGTGGATATGGCAGAGTTATTGATATCTATGTACCAAACAGGAAGGACAGATATGGAAGACGGTTTAGGTTTGCCAGGTTTCAAGAGGTGAAAAACGTGAGTATGTTGGAGAAGGAGCTAGATCATATCAAAGTAGGAGGAGTCAAGATCCATGTAAATCAACCAAGGTTTGATAGACAAGCTAGAACACTGAAGGAAGGAGCTCAGAAAAGTGCAACTGAAACCATCAGATCTGAAGCAAGAAGGCAACCAAACTTGTCCTATGCAAATGTTCTCAAAGGATCAAGATGAACAGATTGGGGATTGCCCAGGCTACTGCTCCAGGGCAATTGAGGAACCACACAGGGAAATACATGAATGCCAACCATAGGGAGAAGGGAAAAAGGGAATGGGTAGCAAAAAGCAAAGATTATGAATGGCGTGGGAGGGAGTTCAGAGCTGAGGAGTCAAATTTTGAATGGGTGAAAGGTAGCTTCGTGGGAACAGCTCGAGCAATAGAGATTGTCCCAACAATTCAAGAAAAATTCTACATGGA